TGGGTTATGATGGGATGAGTACAAGTTATCAGGGGCCCCATAACGGGGAGCAAACTAGTCTGCAAGAGGGCAGAGAGGGTCTTCTGGAGAAGTTAACCCATAAACTGAAATTTGAAAGATGAGCAGAGTTAATTGCACAGATGATTTAAAAAGCACTTGTACATTTATGTAAAAATATTGATAGCAAAAATCATAGGTCTTGGTGTGACACTGTTGGATCAGCACTGGACTGCTAAACACAAGATTGGTGGTTTAGACTCACTAGCCACTCCTTGAAAACCATGTACCAGTTCACTGATGGCACTTAACGACAACCACGTAACAATCAGGGGCAATGGTGGATCAGTGGCAGAATTCTGATCTTCCATTCAGAAGACCAAGGTTCAATTCCTGGCCAGTGTACCTCAAGTGTAACTCAAGTGCAGTGTGCCTCAAGTGCAGTCTGTCTGTCAGTCAAGATGTGTGTGTGGTTATGATGCTGAACAGGTTTCAGCTCAGCTTCCAGACTAACATGAACTAGGAAGAAAGGCCTGGTGAACTACTTCCAAAAATTACCCAGTAAAAGCCGTATGAATCACAACAGTCTGATCTACAACTGATGATGGGGACGAGGCAATTGTTTTGTTGTGCATGTTGTTGTTGTTATTGTTATGTGCTGTGGAGTCAGTTCCGACTCATAGTGACCCTGTACAGGGTTTCCGAGGCTGTAAACCTTTACAGGAGCAGAATGCCTCATCTTTCTCCCGCGGACCAGCTGGTAGTTTCGAACTGCTGACCTTGAGGTTCGCAGCCACATTTGTAACCACTACGCTACCAGAGCTCCTTGTTGTGCATGAGGATACCGTAAATCAGGGGCCAATTCCATGGCATCTAAGAAGATCTGTGCACCAGACACCATGTTGAGTGCGTGAATCCCTATTCTACCCATGGGAAGCCCGAAGCTTTGAGAAGTTACTTACAGATAACCATTTCTCCTCTTCTTACATCGGGGTGATAGAGGCTTAGAACAAAGTAGTCACTTGCCTGTGGTCACAAGGAACTTAGTGGTAGAGCTGGGACTAGAACCCAGCTCTCCTGAATCCTGGATTTGTGTTCCAGATAGTACTGGGGCTGTGGAGAGGCCAGGGAGGAGAGCAAAATCGACACTGCCAGTCTGAGCTGGGCGAACTGCCTCCACAGCTATTACCAGAAGAAGTTGAAGGATGCCACCTACAGGGTCCAAGAGGTACAATCTGCCTTAGGCCGGCTGGGGTCCCAGAGGAAGCTCCTGTACAATCCCCACCTGGTAGACAACATGGAAGTCTCAGAACGGAGAGTCCTGAAGATCCTGAGAAGGCTAAAGCAGCAGGACTATGGTGAGAGGCCTGGGCAGGCTGGGCTGGGGGCATTACCCTTTCTTTCCCTGGGTCTCTGCACAGCCAGACCCCAGGATGCTGACTGACTTCCTGGTCTCCTACTTTGGCTCCACTCTTGTTAAGTGCTGTCGAGTTGATTCTGACCCATAGCAAACCTGTAGAGGGTTTCCAAGGAGCAGCTAGTGCGTTTGAACCGCACCTTGCAGTTCAAAGGCTTTGCAGTCTGGCGCATTAACCCACAGAAACACACCTGGACTCTGGCTCCACTGTATGCCTAGATAATACCCCACACATCCAGGAGTCCTGGTCTGGCACATGTAAAGATAAGCCTGGGACTGCTAACCGCAAGGTTGGCGGTTCAAACCCACCAACCACTTCTCAGAAACTATACAGGGTCACTATAAGTCAACTCAAGAGCACTAATAACAAACTGTCATTAGTCTTTACTCAGCTAGTGTTCTGCAAATTTTCATTATCCCTTTAATCCTCAAGTCTGTGATGTGGGTACCACTGTCATCTCTGACTTATAAAGTCTCAGAGAGGTTAAATGATTTGCTCAAACCCACCAAGCCCACCTTCCAATGTATTCCCCTCTTCTCCTTCTTTACCAGCTGCCAAGCTGCCGAGCCCCTATGCCCAGGCACCCTGCATTCCATTCTGCCCACGGCTAGACAAGAAGACAGTCCGCCGGAAGCAGGGGAGCAGCAACTATGTGCTGGACCAGGGCACTCCCACCAATACGGGTACTGACATTTGTATTTGTAGCCTCTTCTGTCCAACGGGACCTCAAGGAGGCAGGTGGACGCCAGGGGAGCAGAGAGCCCATCCCAGACCCCTCCAACTTCTTCCTTACATGGTGGCCCTGGGCTGGCCCTTGGGAATCGCCGTCCATGAAATATTGCTTGTTTAGGTAAGAGGAAGGGAAAAAAGCTGTGGATCAGGTAGGTTTCACTGAAGCCAAGGCACTTACACCTCCTTGTTTGGGAGACTTAGTGGTACCTTTTTCCTCAGCTGTCACTGTCCCCCTTTCTGATGCACGGAGTCGAATTCTGAACCCCTTTGCCCAAGTCTGACTCCATATGAGGAATAGCGGGAACGAGTTCAGCAGCTGGGCTGAGGGGAGCTTCCTATAGTGGTGTCCCGTTCCCAGGTGCTAGCTGATAGCTAGTTCCATCACTTCTGGGAGGGCTCCTCTTCCCTCAGACACACGGACTATAGGGAAGAAGCCAAACATTCCACTTCTGCTCTGCCCCTGTTTAGGGAGCACTGCTCTGATAGCCGAAAATGGCTCAGCTCCATGCCGGCTTGAACCCACTGACCCTCCGGAGTAGTGCTGACTGAGGAAGCTGGAAGGCCTGCAGACACAAATTTCACTGGGGGTGGGGGTAGGGCCTGCTGGATTGTGTTTCCCTGGCCCAGTAAGCCAATAAACACCATGAAGCTCAGCATCTGTGTCTGCTGCCAGGAAAGGCCTTCAGGTGTTCCCCAGCCATGTGACTCTCAGAGGGCAGGGCTCCAGCCTCTCAGGCTTGAGAGTCCCCAAACAAGACTTGCCTCAACGCCCTGTTCAGGCTCTAGGTGCCTGCTGGAGCTGTCTCCACCCTCCAAAGTGTAGTCTCAAAGCAGTTTCCCTTCTTAGACTAGAAGTCCCACACTTGCTCAGCGAAGTGTCAGGAAAGACCCAGGCCCCTAAACAGCAGACCCTGTGTCCCAGCAGGTGGCGACCCAGTCATGTTCACACCAACAGACCCCCCAGGACCAAGTAGTCTCCTTTCCGCGGAGTCCTTGTCCCTGACTCCAGCATTATCCCAGGTCAAGCTGATATAGTTTCCCCTGATGGTTAAACAAGAAGCCACAGCAAGAGATTCGCATGCCAGGGACCGAAATGAGGACGAACAAAGTGTTGACAAGTTTAAAACATGTATTTAAAATACAATTTATAAAATGCTTAATCTGCCGACTCAGGAGCCCGCGGTGCGGGGTGAGGTGGGGGTGGGCAGCCGCCTGCGATACCATGCAGAACGGGACTGCAGGGGGTACGGCCCTCCCTCCCATGCTCTTCGATTCAGACACCCAAGGGGCTCACGTGCACCCCTGGGATCACATGACCAGAAAACAGGACCCCAGAGATTTCTTGAGTCTCTGCTTACCAGGGAGGCTGGATGTAGCCCCGCCGGCCCATCCCTGAGCAGAGCATCCCCAGATGGGGCAGAGCAGGGTATGGCTGGGCAGGACAGGGCAAGGCAGGGCTGGGCGGGGCAGGTGGGCTCTGGAAGGGTCTGATGGTAGCAGATAGGGTGTGGCCTCCTGCCTGCAGGTGGGGAGCACCCTGATTGTGTGGGCTGAGAGGGTTGGTCACCAGGCCTGGACCCCCAGCTCCTTTGGTTATAGGCTGACATCAGAGTAGTGGCTCATGGGAAGCGGTTAGCTGGAAGGTCTGAGGCCTGGTTCCTGGGGGCAGGGAGGAGCTGGGGAAAGGGAACAGTACCATGAAGGCAGATAAAGGGGCAGCAGCCTCAGGTTTCTGCCCCCAATCCCCCTGGGGTTTTCCAAGCCAAAGCCTGCAGCTTAATTGAAAAAAGAAAAAAAGCACTTAAGGAAAGCTACAGACAACTACAAAAACAAAACAAAACAAAATCCAAACCGTTCTCCCATCTTCCCTCCCACCTCCCCCACAATAATGTCCTATTGTCCTTTTTTCTGCCTGTCACCTCTCCATCTGAGAAGTCAGGCCATGACTGCTGGTGGGTATGACGGGCACACAGTGGGCAGAGCCCCATCTTTGGCTGGAGGGAGGTGGGTGCACCAGTCTTTGCCACATGCTCAGTCTGCAGACACCCCTCAGCGGGCCCTCCCTTTGGCCAAGAACAGGTGGTCACAAATGGCTGAGCAATCAGTACCTCTGGTCTTCCCACCTGGCCTACCTCTGCCACTGAAGGGACAGTCTCGCCTTGGGCCAGAGACCACTATTACATGTGGGACGGCCAACACTACACATTTTAGAATGTAGAAACTTGGTCAGGGCAGTGGAACTATAAAGATAGCAGCCAACAGTCTGCTGTGGAGGTAATTCTCCCTGTGGGCATGACCCAACCACCCGTGCACTCACATACTCAAGCTCTGTTCCAGCTCTTGCTCACTATTTCCTGGATTCACACAGTTTTAAGGCTGTTCTACTGGCTCAACTGGCTAGCCCTTCTTCCTATGGGAGGTGTGAGGGGAGGTGGCCAGCTAGGCCTGGCCTACCATTCCCATAGGGCAAGGCTAAGCCAGGTAAGCCACAGGTGGACTGAGTTGGTTAAACCTAGCTTGCCACCACGAGCTGCCCTAATTGCAAATCATCACATCAGCCAATTCAAAATCCAGCTGCTGGTCAGGAGTAAGGAGGCTCCTAGCCGGCTGAGGGATAAGGCGCAGTGCAACAGAAGGGGCCAGACAGCACACACAGCAGCACATACACAGCTGTTCTGGTGGCTGTCCCTTTAGTCTCTTCCACCTCAAGGGCAAAGCCAATCTCCAGGCTCTCGAAATGGAGGAAAACTGCCTTCATTCCAGGTCCTTGCTCTGGAAAAAGGGGTGAAGGGAAGCCTAGGCCTCTGGGAAACCAGTTTGCCATCACCAATGTTTGCAATGCAAAGCTGCTCCTTTTCCGACTTGACTCACAAGGGTCTGCTGACAAGGTACTGATTTTAAAAAGGAAGTGCACCAAGTAGTTACTGAGCTGGGGCCATCAACAGAGACAGAGCGCTCGCTGTGGATCCTGGAGAGTTCAAGCCTTGCTGGGAGAGGAAGATCTACCATCTTCTGGCCACACAGGCAGAAGACTCAAGAGTTCCGGAGCCAGTCTCTCCTGTTTTTTTTCTTGAGCTGACAGCAAACTACTAAACAAGTCTCACATCCCTTACTTCTGAGCCCAGGCGAGCAGAGCACCACTCTCTGACATGGGACTCTCTTGTGGAAGAAGCAGGCCTGGCTGGTAGGGAACCACCCTGAGGGGTATGGGAAAGGGAAGTCTGTTCACTCTCCCTGTCTCCCAAAATACTAGAGGTGAAGTTGGCACCCTCCCTAGACTCTCTGAGTCTATAGAGCTAGTCCAGGCTCCAGGCAGGGCCAAGATGCCCTGGGACTTAGCTGGGGGAGGGAGGTATAGGCATGGGGTACTCATCTGTCCTGGGGGCTGCAGAGCCCTGCCCCTTTTCTGGGCGGCAGTAGGAATACAGAAGAAGCTAAGCTCACCAAAATCCTATTGGTTAATGTTTCTAGTGAATTCCCAGAAACATTTTTAAGTAGACTACCAAACTACCCTTTCTCAATTAAAAATTCATTAAATTGCTAAAAAAAAAACCCCATGCACTTTTCCTTGAAAAATCAGATTATTTGTATAAACAAAAATGGGGGTAAAAAAAGAAAGGATATTTTCAAATGGAACTTGCTTTTTAAGTGATGAAGACATGCACTTGGGAAGAAGGTTCTCATCTGTTTTGAAATCCCAAATTAATGAGCATGATAAATTGTTATTGCTGGCACTGGCTTTACCCCAAGTGGCACTGTCTGACTCAACTCTTGAGTCCATGGTGGGTCGCCCCAACCATCCCCTAGCCCTCACCCTTTCCCTTTCTCATTGACTTGGGACAGCCCTTGTCGACATGCCAATCACAGTGGGAAGGGGTAGGGAGGAAGGTCACAGTGCATGGGGTTCAAGGTCACAGTGGGCGGAGCAAGGGGGATCACAGTGCAAGTAAATCAGGTCGTTCCCTCTGCTCAAGTCCAGCTGTCTGCCACGGCAGTGCGACCCGTGGCAGACGACCCAGGAGGCGGTGACGGCAGCGGCAGCATACTTTCTCGCCCACATTTATCTGCGCTGTTTGAAGCCTTGTGACCCATCAGGACCCAGGGGCTGTCTGATCACATTATTGGGCTGTCTGCTGTCTTCTGGCTGGGAGATCCTGGTTGGCCTGAAGGGAAGAAAATTAAGACGAAGGCCTGAAAAAGGATATAAAGGATGTCCCCAAATCTCAGAACCAACCAGCTTTGCAGCTGGGGCAGAAGTCACGGTAACTACCAGCCTACTCCAACCTACTACTGGCTCCCTGTCTGTGCCTGCTTCTTTAGCAAGCAGAAGAGGACTTCTCCAAGTTAGGAGGCCCATGTAGGCAGGTAGGCCTGGTGGTTGCTGTCCACCTCTAGCAGCTGCAGCATTCCTGCCCCCAGAGGCAGTGACCACAGACAGCACATCCACCTCAGAACCTACTGGTACAGACTCTCCAGAGTGTCAAGTTAGAGTGAAGCCACTTCTGCCCTCTTGCTTCTCTCCAGACCATGTGGTTACAGGTTGACTCATGTTACTCCAGAACACTAAAAGAAATGGACCTCTTTCACGCGGAAAAGATGGAGGCTTAGAGGATTGTTGTTGCTGTTGTTGTATAGGGTAATGGGACTCTATCAAATGAAGGAACACAGATTAGTTCTCCAAGTCCAAGAATACCAAGCCAAAGAGACCTTTGAAAGTTAGAGAGAGGTGATTTTAGCAAATACTGTTTTACCAGATGATAACAAACTTACATAATGCAACCTCTAGGACTATAGAGAAAAGAGCATTTAGTAAATCCACAAAAACACAGTAGGCTACTGCAAGACCCAGAGGCCACGAATATCTAAGCACTTATCTATCGTGCACTTCCAGGAAGAGTTCTCAGCACTCATGCTGACTGATTCATTGACTCAAACATCCTGGTGAGACAGGTACTACCATTATCTTCATTTTTTCAGATTCTACGACAGAGCAAGGTCAAGTAGTTAAGTGGCAGAGATGAACTCAAGCCTAGCAGCTTTAACCTGCAGAGGCAGCAACACCCTCCAGGGCTTTCGGAGACAATGCAGGAAGACAATTGAGCCCAGCGGGGTACCTACTCATCACTCCACTCCAGGAAGACAGGCTGCCAGAGTGGTCTCTGCTCAGTCTGCCAGTTATACTCACCTGTCGAGGATGGGCTTCTCCTGCTCCTCCTCAGGGCTGGCACTGCCCAGGATTCGCTTCCTAGCCTCCGCGTACTCTGCCTCCCGCTGGGCTAGAGACTTAACCGGAAGGGCTGGCCTGCTGGTGGAGTTGGGGCTGCTGACCACACCGTTGCTGGTGGGCCTCTTGAGGATGCGGATCTGTGGAGGGGGTCCCGTGGGAAGGCTATCGTCCTGAATCACAATGGGCACCCGGGGAGGAGATTTGGACTTCCTGCTGACAAAGAGCAAACACAGTTTCACCAGTTCTGTTCCCTGAAGACATAGCCCCTTCTATGTACCACACCCACCTTGCATCCCTTTCCTCTCCATCCCTCTCCTAATTCTTTTAATTATTCTCTGGCCCCTGACCAGACATATCCAAGCTCCCACACTCCTCAAGGGTTTCTCAAAAGTGCAAACATGGCACAGACTCACAAAGTCCACAGAACTGCTCCTGAGACCCACCCCTGGGCAAAGGGGCTAGAAGCACGCCTCATTCCAGGACTTCTATTCCTCCATCATGCACTCATGTCAATCTCTCTTGAGGTCCTGTGGCAAAACACTTCATGTCCAGCATCCAATGATTTCAAGTTAAAGCCCCAGCTTCCCTACACAGACCACACTGTAATAACTGGTAAGGTGGAAGCCCCTTAGCTCAGAGTCAGCAAAGCACTCCCTTCCCAGTCAATGTCTTCCACCACGTGTGCTCAAACACAAGGGCTTGTTACACCATACCAGACTGGCATGAAGACAGGATTTACCAAATGGACTCAGCCTTCCAGTGCCTCATCGAGACAAGCCACACAGACAACTTAATAACCTCTTCGAAGGAGCTCACGAGCCGACGAACCTCCCTGGTCAGGGCTCTCTGGTCTGTGTGACAGCGGCGGGGCTAAAGGGAAGGAGCCTGGAGACAATGCCTGACAATGCTCAAGAGGGAAGCACTGTCCAGTGCTGGTGCTGTGTTCACCATGAGAGGTAACATTTTAAAATCCAGAGTCGACCCAAACCAAGAGGGATACACAACACAGGCAGGAAAAGAGGAGCCACAGAAGGAGAAAAGGAAGCAGGCGGGAAGGTCTTTCCCACAACAGACACAGAAACTACACCCAAAACAGCCAAACAATTTCTCTCCAGAAGCAAACAGGCCCAGAGGGGACTGTGTCCAGATACTTGTCGTCAGGAGGGACAGGGACTAGAGGAATTCAGCTGCTACTAAGACTGAGTTGGAATAGTCCAGGGATGGGCCTGAAAAAGCAGACTGTCATCAGGAGTTAGTGTCCTTGCTGAGATGAGCAGACAGACAAGGGGCCAGAGCGATGATCAGAGGCAGGGAGCCAGGAAAGCTGGCAGGCGAGCAGGGCACCCCAGAGTTCTCTGAGAAATGAAGCAAATCCAGAGAGGCTCTAGCTCCCTCCTTCCTGCTGCTGGTCCCTGTGAGAAGCCAACAGCTTACCTATGCCCAGACAACTATTGACGTCAACTTTCACCTGCTCTGGAAATCTACTTCCTCCACTGTTGGATGGGGGCGCAGACACCTCAAAGATCAAGAATTTTTCTTTTAGTATACCCCCATAATGCCCTAAGTTACCAAGTCAAGAGTCCAGAGAAAGTATTTGTCTAATCTCCTATGTCACAGAAAGAGAAAATTGAGGTCCAGAGGACATGACTTGCCCCAAACATTAGAACAATTGGGGTCAGAGCCAGTTTTCCAACTTGTCACCACTTCACTTTCAATCAGACCACCTCACACAGGGGACCACTAAGGCAGAAGGCAGGTGGAATACCCCAGTCTCATTCCTAAATCCTCAAGCCACCACGTCCTGCCCTTCCCCTCAGATGGAAGGGTTCAATGCCTAGAGGAGCCTAACCTGCTAAGCCTGCAACCAGCTAGAGACCACCACTGCCTGCCCATTGACTGCCCAGCTCTCAAACGGCAGAGAGCACGAGCCCTCAGACCACATAATAGCCTTACCTCTCCTTTTGTGTGATCTTCAGTTTTTTTTCCAACCGTCTGTCTATTTCCTAGAGGAAAAAAATGTATATAAAAAGAGGAAAAAAAATCTGTCTCAAACAAAAGCTTACGTCTTTAATTTCAGAGCTATAGGCAGTGTCCTCGGCCAGGAACATGACTATGTCTTCTGAGGTTAATGAAGTGGACATTCCTTTACTGGACAGTGGAGCTGACTCCCTGTGTGGGTTCATCTCCCTTCTGTCCCTGTGGCCACAGCAATTGTTCTAGGCCTCATTGTCCAGTGGGTCCTTGGCAGAGCCTCCAACTAGTCTCCTAGCCTCCAATGTACCCCTCACCCCTTCCAAACTGTCCTTCAAAAGTCACTCAAATCAACGTCCTAGACAGAAATCTGATTGTGTCACTTCCTTGCTTAAAACCCTTCAAATTGCTTGCAGGATCAAATCCAAGCTCCTAGAAATGGCGTCATCCACTCTTTCATCTTCTGGTTCACACTTCAGCAACACTGAGCTGTTATTAAGCCCACAGTCCAATGTGTTGTTCTACTACCTGCAATGCCCTTCTCCCTTGCAAACTGCCTTTTATCCTTCAAAACCCACCTTGGATGCCTTCCCACTCTGTGACGTCTTCTCTGATCCCACAAGCAGAGATAATCACCCCTCAGAGACTAGCTTTCTCTTTTATAATCCTTCATGTTCACGTTATCAACTGTTTTATAATTTATTTTTTGACAGTTGTGAATATGAACTCTCTATGACTTGTTGTTGTTATTACATGCTGTTGAGTCAGTTCTGACTCATAGCGACCCTGTATAGGGTTTCTGAGGAGCAGCTGAAGGGTTTGAACTGCCGACTTTGTGGTTTGCAGTCCAGTGCTGATCCAATACCCATACAAGGAGTCCTGGTGGTGGTGGTGATGTGCTGTGGAGTCGGTTCCGACTCATAGCAACCCTGTATAGGTTTTCCGAGGCTGTAAATCTTTACAGGAGCAGAAAGCCTCATCTTTCTCCTGCAGAACAGCTGGTAGTTTCAAACTGCTGACCCTGCGGTTTGCAGCCTGATTCGTAACCACTATGGTACCAGAGCTCCTTACACCAGGAGTCCTAGCACCCAACAAAATGCGATGAAGTAAACAAAAGCCCAATGTTTGAGGGACTGGCTGGGCAATCTGGACCTTAGCACCAGGAACACCAGGGACGATCCTAAACAACCCACAAAGCACAAAACAGTCTTCCCACCTGCCCAAGGCAAAGAATTAATCCGGCCCAAAATGTCAATAGTGATGGAAAGAACAAAGCAGATGGGAAAACAATCAGGCAGGTTTGCATGGGCGAAGTGGGACAGAGGTAAAGAATGATGTATGCACAACCTTGGAACAACAGGGCTCTGGGATACAGGGAATGAGACATGATTGGAATGGGGAAAAGGGGGGAAATAATGTTAAGATGCTTGGCTGTCTTTTGAATCTTGGTTTCCCTTGCATTGTATTATAAAATAGACACTGGAGGGGGAAAGAAAGGAATAGACAGAAATATCACCATAGAAAGCTTGTTAAGTACATCTTCTACCTATAACTGATTGGAATATCTAAAATGGGGCTACAAGGTGCCCAGGGAAGGAGGCTTCCTGCGGAGCCTCTGTATCACATAAGACCATAGGTGGAATCCTTCCTGAACCCCATCCAGAATCTTCTAAGGTAGTAAATTTCCACTTGAAAGGACGGGCAGACCAGCCTGGAGCTGGCTAGAAGAACAGAAGATAACAAAGACTGCATGGGAACAGGGACTCCAAAGAGGAAGAAGAGGCGGTTACACTGAGGGGATTACAACCAATGTTAAGAAACAAAATGCATTAAACTGATGAATGGAAAATTAATTTGCTGTGTAAACTTTCACCCAAACAGTAAAAAGCAAAAAAGAAACAAATCTACTGCTTATTAATAGTAAAGCTATGCCAGCTTTTACTTGGTTAGTATTTCCTGGAATATGTTTTCGCCATCTTTTACATCATACCTTTCCAGGTCTTTACTTGTGTCCTGTAAACAATCTGAAACAGATGTCATACTCATTGATATTGAGCTGTGTTAGCAGTTTTTGTTTTCATGAAAGAACCAAAATATATTTAGGAAAACACAGCATATTATATTCTGATGGCAACAGCAAGCCTCTGCTGGGGACAGGGATCCAATGAACAAAATCTCTCATGACTGAATTTGAGAGGTCCCATTCAGGTTTCCACTCAGGAGAACAAACTGCTTCGTCTTTCTCTAGGATGTTAAGAAAGACAGGGACTCTGTGTCTGGTCCCAGCAAATGGAGACTGGTGGGGAAAAGTCTTTTAAGAGAACATAAGGGCCAAATCTGAGTAGTAGTTGTCTACGCCCCCAAACGAAAACATGATCAGCATAGTTGGTATATTATATAATATTGTCAATCCATAGTAATGCCCATTTCAAAGAAAAATAATTCAACAGAATATGGAAATCATTGAACAGATCATTAAATCACATATAAATAGCATTTTGCTGCAGGACTCAAAAATAGCTGCAGCAGTAAATTAACAAGAACTGTCAAAATTTCAAGCAGATTCATAAGATGACATGGAACTAAGGGATATCACAGGTGATGTCTGAAGGATATTGGATGAAAGCAGAAAATACCAGAAAGATATTTGTCTGTGTATTGATTCTGCAAAGGCATTCAACTGTGTGAATAACACATTATGATGTGAAACACTTAACTGTGATCATGTTGAACCTGTCCAGAAACCAAGCAGCAGTCATTTGAACAGAACAAGATAATGGATACTACATATCTGAAAACTAGAAAAGGTGTTAAGTGGATGTTAAACGGATACTGCATGTTTGAAAATGAGGAAAGGTGTACTTCAGGGTTATATCATTCATTTCACAATATGTACTCAATTTGTTTGTTGAGCAAATAATCCAAGAAACTGTATTATGTTGAGATGAACATGGTTATCAAGACTGGTGGAAGACTCATTAACAACCTGCTCTATGTGGATGACACAATCTTGTTTGCTGAAAGAGAAGAGGACTTGAAGTACTTACTGATAAAAATCAAAGATCACAGCCTTCAATATGGATTACATACAGAAAACAGAACTCCTCACAACTGGACCAATAAATAACATCATGAAAAGCAGAGAAAAGAATGAAGTTGTCAAAGATTCCATTTTACTTGGATCCACAATCAACGCCCATGGAAGCAACAGTCAAATCAAAAAAGTAATGCACTGGGTAAATCTGCTGCAAAAGACCTCTTTAGAGTATTAAAGAGCAAAGATGTCACTTTGAGGACTAAGATGTGCCTGACTCAATGCACGGTGTTTTCAACTGCTTCATATGAATAATGTGTAAAGAAGAATTGATGTCTCTGAATTATGGTGTTAGCAAAGAACATACTATGGATTCCCATAAGAACAAAAAACTGCCATGGAAGAAGTACAGCCCCTCAGAGAGCTCCTTAGAAGTGAGGATGGTGAGACTTTGACTTACACACTTTGGACAAGTTATCAGGAAGAATCAGTTCCTGGAGAACATCATGCTTGGTAAAATAAAAGATCAATGAAAAAGAGGAAGACCCTTAACGAGATGGGATGACACAATGGCTGCAACAATGGCCTCAAACAGATGGTGCAGGACCAGGCAATGTTTCATTCTATTGTACGTAGGGTCGCTAGAACCAATTTAATGGCACTGAATAAGAAACTTGCTTTTTTTTTTTAAGAAACTTGTTTTTAAAGTAAGGCCTTAATGCTTTATTATTGTCAAAACACTCATATTCTCCTCACACCAATCAATCCTGTTTGATAAACAAAGTGCAGCTGTCCCTGTATCCACTGGGGATTGGTTCTAGGGCCCTACAAATACCAAAATTCACAGATGTTCAATAGCCCCTTATTTAAAAAGGGGACATATATTTGCAAATAAGCTTATATATTCACACATACTCCCATATACTTTAAATGATTTCTAGACTCTATATAATAATGGAGTCCTAGTGTGGTGCTATAGAATAAGCACTGGGCTATTAATTGAAAGGTCAGAGGTTCAAACCCACCAGTCACTCCTTGGAAACCCTATACAGGATTGCTAAGAGCCTAACACAATGCAAAGACTATGTAAATAACCTTTGAGAGATTATTCTGACCACTTAATTGATTCCCCTTCCCTTTAACCCCCATCCCAACAATATTTTCAATCTGCAGTTGGTTGAATCTACCATGGATACTGAAGCTGTGGATCCAGAGGGCCAACTGTAGCTTTTATCCCTCCCAGTTAAATGAGGGTAATGTAATTCTGAGAGGTTAAGGAACTTGCCCAAGGATACAAAGTCGCAAATCATACATTCTTTCTGAAGTCCGACCCCACTGTGTCAGTACCCCAAGATGGCTCAAATCTCTGGGAAAGCTGGTAAAAGCCACAAGAAATTGACCTACTCTTTCTTTCTTCCTGATTCCACATGGCTCCATGCCACTCAAGTAACATGCCCATCAGATTTATTACATTAGGCAGGACACTTTTATTAGGCCTGGGAAGGAATTTCTCCATCAGAGAGAATGGGAGCTGAAACCAAGCATCTTTGGTGGAAACCTGATCCTGGCCACCTCCAGATGGCCAGCTGGAGCCCAGCTTGCTCAGAGCTGCCCAGGCAGGAGAAGGCTTGCTGTGCCAGCAGCGGAGGGGGCATTGCATCTCCCTCTGGAGTCTGTCCAGGTATCATGAGTCAGTCCATTCTCTCCTCGGACATGGCCTTGCAATCAATCTACTCTTAGGCTTGTGCTCTGAAAAACTGGACCCTGTAGAAACTCCCTACAGAGAACACCACAAGGAGCATGTTTGTCTCCTCCAGAGAAGTATTCTGCTATTGTTATTAGTTGTCATTGAATGGATTACAACTATGGTGACCCCATGGATACAGAGTTGAACTGTGTGCCTCAGAGTTTTTAAGGTTGTGATCTTTCTGAAGGAGACTGCCAGGCCTTTTTCTGAGGTGCCTCTAGGTGGGTTTGATCCATCAAGCTTTCAGCTAG